GCCACGAGGAGCTGCCTGCCGGAGGGTTTCACCATCCCACCCTTTCCAGCAGTGTTTAAATGCCTTCCGCACGCAATGAGCAGCAACATCTCTGGTGGATTTAGGAGAATCCGGACTTTTATATAATTGAACTTTAATATAACATAATTATTTTCCTCGTCTTCTGTTTTAGTTGGTAGTGACCATAGTCATGTCACTGTTTCCAGTTTTCAGTCTTAAAACAGAATGACTTTTATAACAGAGATGTAAAAATAACCCTGCCTAAAAGCAAAAAGGAAGAACCCAATTCATAAGAGAAGTTGTTTGCGCCTGCACATCGCTTCTGACCTCACGCTCTCTGCCTGTTTCTCCCATTGCATTGCTGGCAGCGAAAGGACCGTCAGCTGTACGGCTCCAAACACCCGACTCGGCCCCTCTCTCCTTATAACCACTGTTTTAAATACCTCTGAGTGGTTTGATTTCTCCCTTGCTGCACCACACAAGTCCTCTACATACCTCTACAGTCTTCTCTAAGGATCTTTGCGGGGTATTGGCAAAGTGGCGTACAGTAAGAGGCTTAGCTGGATTGCATGAAAGATGTAATGCAAAGTAGACTCGTCGTGCAACCCATCTTCTCATGTCCCAACTAATTCCACCAGGCATAAAAAGCAGATTATAACTAGAGGATTTAGCCTAGCCAAAGAAATCAGATCTCTTACGCTGTTGGAACAATAAATATGTGGGTTTAGCCTTAATGTCACATATAATACAGAACAAATGGACAAGCTGAAGTCCTGTAATGGACTTAGTGGGAGTAGCCATTCATGGAGCTCCTTGCACAGCCACAATCTAAAGCTTTAAGACTGAAACCAAGCCTGACTCATGGGAGTAAGAATCAGGGGGTTTATAATGTGTAATGAAGGGACCAAGACGCTGAAAAGTGTTAATAGTTAAATGTTCATGTGTATTTGAAAAACTACTATCAAATTAGATTGGCACCAAGCACTGATATTATTTTAAGAACAGCAGCAACAACGCCATAGGCTTTTACAAAACCTTGGGCCAGTCAAAACTTTCTTGTAACCGTAAAAAAGAAGAGAAGCATGAAAACCCACGTGACACCGATAGAAATAACTGTTTTCGTCTACTTCAGAAAAAGAGAAGCTAACTGCACTTAGTATCAGCCCTGCTGTACTCCTAAAAGTTTGCACAAAATGAACCCATTGCTAGGCAAGTGGTGCGCATCTCCAGGGTATGCATTCCCTCCTCCTTTGCGTACGCTTCCTCTCTCATCAAAGCGATATTCAAAGCATCTTTGCTGCCTTCCAGGTTAGCACCAGAGCACCGCGAACAAGAGACACCTCAAAGCCGTGTCTCCGGGCTCTGCAGTTCCAGCAAGGTCACGTTTTGACAGGTCTCCTGACAGAGAGGAGGGCGAGAGCCGACAGGCCAAAGGCAGAAAAGTGAAAATCCCCAACGCCCATCTCCTTCCCGGGGGACAAAACCCACCTCCGCCCCCGACGGCTCCCCGGGAAGCGGCTCGCCGCTCG